CTATCCACCCGTTTATGTTAACTTGCCAAATGGCCAACGGCATTGGTGTAACAATGCTTCTTCGAAGTTAGAAGCTAAAGTTTTAATTATTTTGAATATACTAGTACTTCTTCATAGGTGGGTTGTAACATGTCATAAAAATGTATAATGGATAGAAATTGGATAGACCATGTATCATATTTATGTCGTCTCTTGTTCTCGACAATCGACATTTTTTTCTTATTTCAACAACTTTCATTTATTGAATCTAGTATTTTGTCAAAAAAATTGGATAGAAATTAAGGCCTGTTCTCTTTGCTGTCTTCGGACCGTTTTCTGTTTTCAATTTTTCAAAACAATGAAAATGCGTTCTCTTCCTCGTTTTCGAAAATGTATTTTTGAAAACAAAAAAAATTTCTACAGAAAACACAAAACGTCCAAATAGCCATTTTGAGTGTTTCGAGTGTTTTCTTCCCAAAACGCGCTCACCGAACCAAAACGAGGAAAACGCTCATTTTCCATTTCCCCAAAATTCTTCCTCTCTTGGGCTAAGCTACCGATTGGCCTCCTTCCATCAATTTTTGCCTTCTTCTTCCCCAATGGGTTCTTCTCCTCTAATCTACCTCGCCGGCTTCCCAAATCCAGTCTTGAGGTACCCATTCTCTCCATCGGTAGAATCTCCTTTATTTTTCTTCTATTTAACTATTTCTACATTGTTCTTCTCTTGCGTAACTTCTAAAAAATTAATTCTACTTATGTTCCTTCTAGAGAAGTTCTTATTTCGGGATTTTAAAATTAGTAATGAGCTGCAATTTGTGGGTTTCATTTTTTTCGATGTGATTTATGTAAATTGAGGGGGCAGTTAACTGAATTTTTAATTTAAGCTTTTCTTTTGTTTCATGTAGGGGTGGGCGTGGTTCGGTTCAATTTTTTTCGGTTCCAGAAATTTTCGGGTATTTAGTAAATGAAACCGTCGGTTCCAAATATAATTTTGGAACCGTTCGGGTTCGGTTCGATTCGGTCCTATTCAGTTCCGTTCGGTAATTTGGTTCCGTACTATAATTAAA